GGTGAAGCACACATCTGCTGTGATACTGGGTAGTGTATAGTATCAGTAACTATACTGCGGCGGTGGTGTTATTGAACGGGTGAAGCACACATCTGCTGTGATACTGGGTAGTGTATAGTATCAGTAACTATACTGCGGCGGTGGTGTTATTGAACGGGTGAAGCATACATCTTCTGTGATACTGGGTAGTGTATAGTATCAGTAACTATACTGCGAGGGTGGTGTTATTGAACACGTGAACCACACTCAGAGTGCCCTTTTTTGAGGAAGTAGACAAATGAGTATAATTCATCCAACTGCCCCGAGGAGTGTGCCCATCCCCAAGTAGGAAATTATGGCACCTTCTCTAAGAAGGATTTTTAATCAACAAATTACATTTCACTAATAAAGTCCTCAGAACTGCACAGTATGTTAGAAGAGCATTTTAATGCAAATATCCCCCCCCACACACATACACCCCAGTACTCCACCCACAGTACTTTATCTCTTAGTTTAAAATATGAAAATAAAAAAGCCTAATGCAATTTCCAGCCTTCCAGATATAGGTAAAAGACTTTTTAAAATTTTTTTCGTCCTCTGATGAATCGAAGGCATTATCATAAAACAGAAAAAGAGAATTCCGGAGCATCCTCGCAGCGACGCGGACGCAATGTCAGGAGCGATCCGTGTGCGCGGCTGGTGTTAATGGAATTACACTTGGGCTGCTGTGAGCGGGAATGAGGTCTGGGTAGCACCGTCTCCGGATTGGGGGGGGTTATCTCTGGAGTACGGCCCCCCACCCCAGTGCAGAAACAAGCTTCTATTCTGATAGCGACTTGCTCCTTTGACCACAGACTTTCGGATGCAGAGGGAGGCTGGGTGATGGAGAGGGCAAAGGTCAGTGAAGGGTGGGGGCAGGGTGCTCTTTGTTATTTTGCGGGAGTGCCAAAGTGCTGCAGCCCTCCGTTTGTGGAGCTCTGGGATGCGCATCGTGAGGATTCATGGGCAGGAGGGCATGTACAGTGTGGTTCAACTGCAAATGGGCTGTTTAATGAACTCATGTCATTAATGACAGGTTATTAAATTAACTAATAACATAAAACATGATTGGTTCAAAAAGACTTTTAAATCTCGTCAAAGTGACTGCAGAGTTTATGATTATCTAATCAGGAACGGCCCCACAGTGAGGGGTTAGTTTTCCAGAATGAATTTGTGCTCTTGACTGCTGAGCAGGAAGCATAGCCTGGTTGACCGTGAGCGCCCCTCCCCCGGCAGCATTCGGACACAACGAGTGCCACGATCCGGGCATTCCCATCAACGGGCAGCGCTACGGCGACCGCTTCCTGCTGGGCAGCTCCGTGTCCTTCACCTGTGACGAGGGCTTCATCAAGACGCATGGCTCCCAGGCTGTCACCTGTGTGCTGCAGGACGGCAACGTGGTGTGGAATGCCGCTGTCCCGCGCTGCGAAGGTATGCAGGAGGTTCTGCTGAGCTGGACTCGCCAAGTCAACTGGAATGTGAACTGGAAACATAACAGAAGAATAACAAATCATGTGAAAATCGAAATATTTCTATCACATGGAAACTTATAGCGAAAACATTTCAGCTTCATTTAAATTTGCCATTAAATTATACCTTTCATAAATCCCCTTTCAATAATTCACGAGGTTGAAGAAAAGCTTCAAATAAATGCTATTTCCCAGTTGCTCATCACTGCAGAGCATTATACTGGCTATAACTGATGCCATTGTGTATCTGTGAATGCGCTTTAATTACTGAATTATTGTGAAGCTGAAGGAGGTTTGTTTCAGCCATGATCTGTGGTAATCTGTGGCGCTGCCCCTGTGGCGGCTAACTAGGCTCACCCTCTGCTGGTCACTTTCACCTCACAAACACCGTTAGCAGCTCTAGACTCTTCCTATGTAAAATCCCTTCCATGGTTACGTACTTAATGGCAATTCTGGGTAAGCAGGTCACTGTCGCACCTGATCTCTGTATCGAAAGTTTGTGGCTCTTCCAGCTCCTCACAACCTGCTCGTCTGAGCTCCCCTGAGTGCCCACAGTGCTATAACCCGCCCTTCTTGGTCTCTGGTTCCTCCCAGCGCCCTGCGGTGGACACCTGACGGCACCCACGGGAATCTTGCTGTCTCCGGGCTGGCCGGGATACTACAAGGACTCCCTGAGCTGCGAGTGGGTGATCGAGGCCCAGCGGGATCATGCCATCAAGATATCCTTCGACCGGTAAGAGGCCTGCTTTGCATGCAGAGTGATAATTAGCACAGGAATCACATATTACAGGTGCTGTATTTATAGCTATTGCTTTACTGTTTTCTTTTTATGCCAGTAAAATGGTTTATAAGGAGTCTGATTGATATCAGTAGGAAATATAAGCCAGTGTTTCTGTTTGAATTTGCCAGATATTTCCGCTGGCCTTTTCCCACTCATTCCGGTGTTTCCTGACCATAGGTTTCAGACCGAGGTTAATTATGACACTCTGGAGATCCGGGATGGCCCGTCAGGATCGTCCCCGCTGATCGGGGAATACCACGGGACACAGGCTCCCCATTTCCTCATCAGCACGGGGAATCACATGTTCCTGCTGTTCACCACGGACAACAGCCGCTCCAGCGTGGGATTCCAGATTCGCTATGAGAGTAAGTTGCTCATGTCATCTGTGTTTTTGAATGGTCAGCATAGCCAAGGCCAGATCCAGGCCATTAGAGTCGCAAAGGACTTTCAGATGTCAGGGAGTGACGGTGTTTGAGGACTGCTCATCTCTGCAGCACACAGGGGGTCCTGGGAACAGCCACATAGAGCCCGGAGGCCATGGATTAGAGCGTGAGGAATTATTAATGTTTGGGCCCGAAGCTCGTGGAATTACAGCATTTCCCGTACAAATCACTATGGCAGTAAAATACCAAAGTCCCAGTAGCTTGAGGACATCTTGGAATTTCAGAAGGAGCCGGATTAAAATTTAATGTCATGTTGGCTTTATCGCTCATTTCCGTATGCTTCGTAGAGGAAATAACACGGCATACATGGATCACGGGGCATTACATGGGAGACGTATCTGTGGGAAACGTATCCATGGTTAAAAAATCTGTGGGGAACGTATCCGTGAGTGATGTGTCTGTGAGCGACGTGTCCGAGGGTGACGTTATCTGTGAGTGACGTGTCTGGGGGTGGAGTATCTGTGAGCGACGTCTCCGTGGGTATGGTATCTGTGAGCGACGTATCCGTGGGTATGGTATCTGTGAGCGACGTATCCGTGGGTATGGTATCTGTGAGTGACGTCTCCGTTGGTATGGTATCTGTGAGCGACGTCTCCGTGGGTATGGTATCTGTGAGTGACGTGTCCATGTGTGAGGTATCTGTGATCGACATGTCCGTGGGTGAGGTATCTGTGAGCGACGTGTCTGAGGGTGACGTATCTGTGAGTGATGTGTCCGGGAGTGAGGTATCTGTGAGGGACGTGTCCGTTAGTGAGGTATCTGTGATCGACATGTCTGAGGGTGACGTATCTGTGAGTGATGTGTCCGGGAGTGAGGTATCTGTGAGCGACGTGTCTGTGGGTGACCTATCTGTGAGCGGCGTGTCTGATGGTGATGTATCTGTGAGCAACATGTCCATGGGTGACGTTCCTGTGGGTTCTTTGGCCTTTGACACAGATCCCCAACTCTAATTCTTACAAAGCAGTCTGAGCCCTTTACACTCTTTCTGTGTGTAAATATAACGATTTTGAACTTAGGATTTGAATAGCTCAGGCTGGCATAGCGATTGTCACAATCTGCATAAACGCACAATAAGCAGCAGCTACCATAAAGAGCGCCACTTCGTGGCCACTGTAATGGCCTTTTACATGTTCCCTTATCGCTGGGTGATGGTGCTTGGGAGCGGCTCTGTCTGGTTGGCTGGATGCCCAGTGAGGTGTCTGTCCCCCCAGGCATCAGGATGGAGAGCGACTCCTGCCTAGACCCTGGCATCCCGGTCAATGGCCGGCGCCATGGCAACAACTTTGCCATTGGCGCACGGGTGATGTTCAGCTGTGACCGCGGCTACACACTGAGCGACGAGGAGCCCGTTGTGTGCGAGAGGAACCACCAGTGGAGCCACGCGCTGCCTAGCTGTGACGGTACCTCCCCGCCCCCCCCAGTCCTGCCTCTACCTGCTGAGAGGGTCTGACCTGCCAAACCATTTAGCTTCTCGATTTTACATTTTGGTGGGAAAACTTCCCAACCATCATACACCATCGGAAAGCTTTTTCCCTCTTCCACACACTCCCTATTGTCCAGTTCATCTCTCTGTTACCTGCGACCCTGACATGGATAGGCTGAAATGTGTCCTGGGGTGTACCTTAAAGGGGATACCAGCCCACTATACGACCAGCTTGGTTTCCCAGAGCTGGGGGACAGCGCCATCCCACACTTCACCGGAGAACTGCACATTGCAGCGGACATACAGGCATATGTATGCAAAACGGCACAATTAAGTTAAATAACAGTGACCTCTTTAAATACAGCAGCCGTCTGTGCACTGTTGAAGGAGACTCTTTCACCAACTGAACTTTAAGAAACAGGGCTTTAATTTACGATTGCAGACATATGACATATGATTGTCCCTTAGGATTTGCCCACCTTTTATCATACGTGTTATTTAGCACATTTACCGGGACCAAATGAAGTATGTGGACAGTGCCGGTGGCCCCAGCGTTTGTTCTGATTTAGTGCAGTGACACAACACTTTAGAAGGGACCAGGGGTGACGCCCCTCTGCTCTGGGAAAGCATTAATAAGCATGAAGATTAAGTGCGTTTCAAAGGCTTGTAATAGATTAACTTTGGCTGAAAACACCACTGAAGTACATTTAGGGGGAAAGGATGATAGATCACCTGGTTACCAACAGATTACCGGCTTCGATGAACTGGAATGAAATAAGCAGGAATATTAGCTTTGAAAAGAGAATTTTAATATGTGGTGCAGACTCAAGTGAAATGATACGGTTTGAAAATGAGAGACTGCAAGTTAGCGCCCTTTTCATCCCTGTTTGGTTGTCAACATAACACACACATTACAGAACCAATTAGAAAACACAAATACCCAAAATCTGATTGGCTGACAGAAGCAAATGCTTCTTGCTTAAATTGAAGGAGTCCTAGTATAAAAGAGTTTATGTTTCTGCATCCCTGTCATTTCCCCGACGATGCTCGGTTTGTGGGCAGCAATAGGACAGCGGCTGTGAAATCTGCTTTGCTCTAATGTCTTCAGACGGATTTGTCTTTTATGCCAGGAAACATTATAAAACCATATTCAATACTTGTTTAAAAAATAGTCACTGTTTATGCTACATTTTTGACAGAGGTTATTTGGATTTTTCTCAACCCCAAATATAAACGTACTTATCTCGTTTACAGTAACCTAACATGTGTCTGGGTTTGATGTCAGCCTTACATCTTATTTAATCCTCCTAAACTTTCTCTTCATGCCATGTGTTGGGGCTTAGAGCCCTTGTGGGGAAACTCTGACTTCTAAATCTGTCATATAACACTCTGTGTGTGACATTGTAATCAGTTCTGTGTGTGAAATTTCAGAAGAAAACTTTGCAGATGAGATTTCTTCCACCAGGGCTATAGATACTGACCTATATTTCAAAGTCACACCCACCTAGACCAAATTTTAATGTTATGATTTCTTTAAAGAGTAATCAGCACCATTAGTCTAACTCAAGGATGCTCAGATATGAATATAGCATACTTTTAGAATAATACTGCTCTGAGTTAAACTCCAGCAACACTGAAAAAACAGCTTCTAAATGTCTAAAGAAGTTTAGCTGTATAACAAGTTTCCATAAATCAGTGAGATTTGGTAAACGTAGGTTGGGCTGTTCCCTTCATAGCTCTGTGTGGCGGATACATCCATGGGAAAACAGGAACGGTGCTGTCTCCTGGCTTTCCGGACTTCTATCCAAATTCGCTGAACTGTACATGGACAATCGAAGTATCGCATGGAAAAGGTGAGCATTTTTTAACTTTGGCGTTTCCCGTGTGCTAAGAGAGGCCAATCGCGGGTCACTGTATCATCGCTCGTGCCTTTAAAATACTGTCTGTGAAGTTCCTGGGAGCCCAAAGACAGCAGAGTGCAGCAGTAACTTCTGCCTCAGTTGGCACCACTCTCCATTTCAACCCTGGCTAATCTGGACCACAGGCGTTGTGTAGCGGCTCACGCATCCGAGGAAGCGCTCTGGCAGCACTGCCTAAGTGTCGCTGGTCCTCAGCTGGTGCTCTGATCCCTGGGGAGGTAGAAATTTCTCCAGGGTTATAGCTGACGCCATATTAGCTGTTTGTCTTCATGTAGAAGATGCTGGAAGAGGCTGGTGTCCCATTTTGCGGTGTGTAGCTAAACATACAGCCTGTATCGCCCCCCAGGGGTGCAGCTGGTCTTCCACACCTTCCACCTGGAGGACTCCCATGACTACCTGCTGATCAGTGAGGACGGTGGCTTCTCTGAGCCAGTGGCACGGCTCACAGGCTCGGTGCTGCCACCCGCCGTCAAGGCCGGCCTTTTCGGCAACTTCACCGTGCAGCTGCGCTTCATCTCCGACTTCTCCATGTCCTACGAGGGCTTCAACATCACCTTCTCGGGTGAGGAGCCACCTACCCACACTCATGCGGCGACCATGGAGAGCGGCGATGCCAATGAGTGACGATGCTAACGAGCCGCTACTCCCTGTGCGGTGCACGGGCACTGTACTGCACTCATATGTATCACCACGTACGACATAAACAGCATATCGGGCACTGTACTGCACTCATATGTATCACCACGTACGACATAAACAGCATATCGGGCACTGTACTGCACTCATATGTATCACCACGTA